CATATGGGCACTCCCTTGTAGGTAACTAACTGCTTTTCTCTTTCTGCTTTTAAGATTCTCTCTTTTTCTTTAATCTGTGGCATTTTAATTATGATGTGTCTTTGTGTGGTCCTCTTTGGGTTCCTCTTGTTTGGGACTCTCTCTGCTTCCTGGACTTGTGTGTCTATTTCTTTCACCAGGTAGGGGAAGTTTTCTGTCATTATTTCTTCAAATAGGGTTTCAATATCTTGTTCTCTCTCTTCTCTTTCTGACACCCCTACCACGATATTGGTATTCTTAAAATTGTCCCAGAGGTTCCTTACATTATCTTCATATTTTTGGATTTTTTTTTTCTCTTCTGATTGGGTGTTTTTTTCTTCCTCATATTTCAAATCGTTGATTTGATTCTCGGAATCCTCTACTCCAGCGGTCGCCAACTGGTGGTCTGCGGGCCACTGGTGGTCCGTGAGGTCCGAAAGGTTGGTGGCCGCTGCTCTACTCTACTGTTAAATCCCTGTAAATTATTCTTTATTTCAGTTACTATATGCTTAATTTCTGACTGGTCCTTTTTCATGTCTTTGACATTCTCAGTAACATAACTGAAAGTCTCACTAAGTCCCTTGAAGTGCTCATGAAGATCCTTGAGTAACTTTATAACTGTAGTTTTGAACTCTGTCCAGTAGTTTGCTTTTTCCGTTTCTTTCATTTGTGACATGTTTCTTTGCATTTTGGCTGCTTCCCTCTGTTTCTATGTATTAGGTAGAGCTGCTGTGTCTCCTGGAATTGGTAGGGTGACCTTGTGTAGTATGTGTCCTGTAGGGCCCAGTGGCTCAGCTTCCTCAGTCATCTGAGTTGGGTACTCTTGGTGTATCCCTGTGTAGGCAGTGTGCACAGTCTTGTTGTAGTTGAGCTGTGATTGCTGTTGGTGTCACTGGGAGGAATTGACCTCCAAGCCAGTTGGCTGTGAGGACCAGCTGCAACTGCAGTGGTAGAGCTGCTGTGCAGGAAACACCCCTATGGAGTGGGACTTGCTTCAATAGAGCTTTGGTGCTCATTGAGTCTGCCCCTTGAGTGTGTCACTTGTGGATGTGTAAAGTGTAATCTGTTATGGTTTGAAGCTGTCTACCAGGTTCACAGGCTCTAGGACCTCCAGGGAGGTGCAAAGTCAGCCACTGACTTTGAGGGATTTGCAGATGGCTATCATTGAGGCCCACCTGTGAAGCAAGGCACACGGGTACTAGTGCTGGTTCTTGGGCTTTTTATTGATAGGGTTGGTCATGCTGACACCAGCAGCAGCTTGAGAGATTTTAGTAAAGTCTAAAGCCTGAGCCAGGACAGTCCATTCATATGGAAAAGTTACTGCAAAAAGCTTGGGTGGGACTGCAAATTCGATGGGGCAGTCTCTCAGGGAATCACCAACGTGGAGCAACCAGTATGCTCTGGGCTGATGGAGACTCATATATGGCTGCCAGTCAGCAGTGCCACGGGAGAGATCCCAGCCCAAGAACAGTGACCCCTGTGAGCACCCCCGTCTAGGAGAAAACCACCCCCAAGTTCTTGCCCTGATGCCAGACAATCCAGTTCTTCCCTGAATGTGTCTGGGTCCCCCAACACCTCTTGGCTCAGAGGGTTCAAGTTCGAGTGAGTTCATGTGCTGGCCCTTTCAGAGGGACACATCTGTCTCTGGCAGCCTCCGTGTCCTCCAGCCATAATCCTCACTGATTTTTACAGCCTGGACTTATCTTCCCAGCTCTGGAAACCTGGGCTGGGGGGCTGGTGTGGGGCTGGGACCTTTTGCTCCTCAAGGGTGGCCTCTGCAGAGATGATCTCCCTTCCAGTTAAAAAAAATCACACATGGGTGCTGTATCAGCCTATCCTGCACCTCCGCCCCTCCTACCAATCAGTGTGCTTTCTTCTTCTCTAGTTGTAGGACTTCCATTCAGTCAGTTTTCAGGCGGTTCTGAATGGTGGTGGTTCTGTATTTTAGTTGTCATTTTGATGTGGTTATGGGAGGAGGTGAGTACAGGCATTTACCTACTCCACCATCTTGGTTCCTGTCTCCCCTCCATTTTGTTTAGCTCTTTTTCTGGAGTTTTGTCCTTTTCTGTCATTTGAGACATGTTTCTTTGTCTCTTCATTTTGGCTGCCTTCTTGTGTTTGTTTCTGTATGTTAGGTATATCTGCTATGTCACCCAGTCTTGTAGAGTCACCTTTTGTAGTAGGTGTCCTCTGGGGCCCAGTTGCACAGCCTCTCTGTTTACTTGAACCAGGTGGTCCAGTGGGGTTGTCACTTTTGTGGGTTGTGTACTCTCCTGTTTTAGTTGAGCCTTGGTTGCTATTAACACATCAGTGGGTCGGATTGACCCTGAGGCTGACTGGTTGTGAGCTCTGGCCATGACTACAGTTGACCAGCTTTTGTGCAGGAATGTGATCCTACAGAGCAGAATTTGATGTGTCTGACCTCTGGTGCCTGCCGAGTTCACTCTATGGGTGTATTGTTTGTAATGCTAATTGTGCATTTTTCTGGTTTGGTTTGAAGCCGGCCACCAGATGTGTTGGTTTTGGAGCCTTTTCAGGGGGAACTCTGGTAATTGCCAAAGTCAGCTGCTGCTTGTGCTTAGTCCAGGGCTACCTGGTAGGAGGTACACAGTTATCTGTTGTTGGTAGCTGCCTGTGCTGGGCTTGGGAGGGGCCTAGGAAAGGCTATGCTGCAACCCCAGGCTAGCTGCCACCAGTGCCAGGCTTGGGGCCACTTAGCAAGAGGCACACTGAGGCCATCTGCTACTTATTTGGGGCTTATAGACCTTTGCGAGATTTTAGGGAAGTCTGCAGTACAGGCAGAGGCTAGCCGCTTGTGAGGAACAGTTGCTGAAAGAGCTTCAAGAGGTGCACGAGTTGGGTATGGCAGGATCTCAGAGAATCATGAGGAAGAAAGGTGTTATTTGGCTTAATAGAGACTTAGATATGGTGCCCACTGTGTGGGGGAGGGCTAAAGTAAGGAACAGTGGTAACAATGCCAGCACTTCTGTCTGGGAGAGAGCTGCCCCTGTAGCCGTCGTTCTGAAGCCAGACATTTCAATTCTTCCCTGTATGTTCCTGGTGTTTTTCAAGCTGCTGCCCTTTTGTTGGAGCTTAGGGCGAATGCTTGTAAGTGAGTCTGTACCCAGGCTGTTTAAGAGCATGCCTGGGTCTAATCTTCACTGATTTTCACAGCCAGCTGTTGTGGGGACCTCTTGCTTCTCAGGGGTAGCCTCCATACCTGAGATACTTCTCCTGATTCTCAACCCCCCACACGTGGGTGTGCAACCAGGCCATTTTGAATCTGTATCCCTCCTACCAGTTTCAACGCATCTTTTTTATATCTTTAGTTATAGGCGTTCTGTTCAGCTAGTCTTCCGGTGGTCCTCAAGGTTGCTGATCTATAATTTAGTTGTAATTTTATTTTTTTAATCCTCACCTAAGGAATTTTTTCCCATTGATTTTCAGAGAGAGTGGGAGAGAGGGGAGATCGGGGAGGGAGGGAGGGGGAGGGAGGGAGGGAGGGAGAGAGAGAGAGAGAGAGAGAGAGAGAGAGAGAGAGAGAGAGAGAGAAAGAAACATCGATGTGAGAGAGGCACATTGATTGGTTGCCTCCCACATGGGCCCAGACTGGGGCTGGGGATCGAACCTGCAACCCAGGTATGTGCCCTTGCCCAGCAACTGAACCCGAGGCCTTTGGTGCATGGGCCAATACTCTAACTACTGAGAATGCTGACCAGGGCAATTTAGTTGTGATTTTGATGTGGGCATGAGTGGAGATGAACACAGTGTTTACATACTCCACCATCTTGGCCAGAAGTTCATTTACAGTATTTATTGAAGAAAATGCACATAAAAGTGAACCCACCAATTGAAACCTGTGTTGTTCAAGGATCTACTGTAGTTCACTTTTTAAGTTTTGAAAGACTTGTTCCTGTTTTTTCAGGAAGTAGAATACACTTTGAATCCATACTTATATTTAAAAGATCAAAGATGATGGGAGCAGTTCACCAGCTAAGTAAAAGGGTAGAGAGTCATCTCAGCATTAAATTGTGTAAATGTAAATGACCTGGTGATCAACATATACTTTAGCGTAGTCAATGCTAAACATTTAATCTATGCTAACAAAACATGATCCCCATACAGAGGTGTGGGTAGACTGTGTGTTCATTGAGAGGAGTTTACAAAGGCAGGAACATGGTGAAATATGTATATGAGTGTCTTAGCTTTATTGTTTACTAGCAGAATGAAGTGATATTATTTAGTATTCCAGACCAATCATGGAGCTGTTTTTCTCTTCACCCCTACATTCATAGGCTCTATATTACCGGGGCTTTAGTAAAGAAATTAAACTGACTTTTAGGTAATATATTTATCTCTGTTGAGTTTTATTTTTTGGTTGCATGTGTTTTGTTGTTTTCTCTGTTGTCCCAAAACTCCCAACTGTAAACAGAAGTTAGTTACCAGCAATAATTTTGACCTGTCTTTTTCACTCTTTAAGTATTCATTCAGCAAAGTGTATGCTAGCGAAATACCTTTAGTATTAAGTGCAAAAAAACCCTTTTTTTAAATCAGCATCAGCTTTCTAACAACTCAGAGTAGTTAAACTGGACATGAGTTTTGTTAATTGTCTTTAAACTTATTTAGTCTTATATATGTTTCCTAAAACATATTAGTTATTATATAATTAAATTCACATGTAGCTGCATCTGACTTTATGGTAGCTTATACCAACAAACTGCTGTAACTTTTTTATTCTTTGTCTTTTGAAATTTGACTTAGGTCATATGCTGTGAACTAACAAACTCAAAGGTTTGAGGTTTGGTGATGAGATAAAACTGAAATATAGGGGAAAGACAAACAAAAATAGTTGTATTTAAAATAAGACTGTCAAACACTGACATCTGACCAGGTGTATTATTAGACCATGATGTACCATAGCTTGGAGGAAAGTCATCTGGAAAAAGTCAGATTTTAGCTAATCTTAGTCCTTTACTTCCTAGGCAAATTGGAACCGGGCTGAAGGAGAAAATGAATTCCAAATCCCTGGCAGAGCAAGATGCCGCTCTGACCAACTAAGGGAAGCCAGTGTCTCTGATGTGGGACAATTGGATCCTTCATTGGACCAAGGTAGTAAGGATATACATCATAAAGGAAAACGGGGTAAGAAGGTAAGTAAATTAAGTAAAAGAGCAGTGAGGTCTGTGTATGTGTTCTAATCGAAGGTACCTTTAACCAGTTTCAATTATTTATAAGATCTTATCCCCATTTACTAAAAAAAATGGCACAACTTGTAGAGTTACAGAGTGATTACTAGTAAACATAATTAGCAGCTTTAATATTTCCCTTTCCAAGTGTTTGTTACTTAAAGTGATTTAAAAGATATTCTATGTTTTGAGGGATAGATTTTTTTTTGCAACTATTTGAAAGATTTTGATATTTACCTTAATGATGTACATACTTTTTTGTTTTGTGTTGTTCTCAAACACAAACCTTTCTATATACACCAAGATCTTGGGGCTAGGTATGCTTTTTCTTAGACTGCCATTTTTATTCAGTTCCTTATTTCTTGATGGTCAACAAGACAGAGGATGGGTTATTTAACATATTTTGTAGTTATTTAGTGGTTTCTTCTTTCATTTCTTAAATTCTGAGTATATGATCCTATATAATAAAAGCCTAATATACTAAGTGTCCGGTCGTCCGGTCATCCGTTCAACCAATCAAAGTGTAATATGCTAATGATATGCTAAGGCCATTCAACCGCTCACTATGATGTACACTGACCACCAGGGGGCAGACTGTCAACTGATCAACCAGTCGCTATCACGTGCACTGACCACCAGGGGGAAGATGCTCCAACTGGTAGGTTAGCTTGCTGCTGGGGTCCAGCCTATCAGGACTGAGCGAAATAGGCCGGACATGCCCTAAACCCTCCCACAGTCCCTCCCTGGCTGGCTAACCTCCTGCGTCCCACCACGGCCCCGATCATGCACTGGTGGGGTCTCTTGGCCTGGCCTGCACCCTCTCACAATCCAGGACCCCTCAGGGGATATCGGAGAGCTGGTTTCAGCCCGATCCCACAGGCCAGGCTGAGGGACCCCACTGGTTCATGAATTCGTGCACCAGGCTTCTAGTATGCTATAAGTGGTACATCCGGATTAGAGTTAGTAAATATTAAGTGCTAGAATGTTGAGCGCAGTGGGAAAAGTTTAAATTTCTCATTTCAAGTAATTGACCATTCAGTGGGGAGGACCGGTCAGCAAAGAGATCATTTCTGTCTAGTGTGATTATTAGATGAAGGTACATAGATTGTATAGAAAGCTAGGTTGTACCTTCTCTCTAATGTACAACCTGGCCTCAGAAATAAGTGTGGGCATATTGCTGATGTGGGAAGCAATCGGGAGTTTTTACTTATGAGTGGCTTTTCGCCTGTGTAGAAGTTTTTAAGTGAAGTTCTCTTTGTATTTCTGTTGAGAAGTTTGGTTTTCAAGTTATAAGGTCTGAGTTAACTTGTTTCTAAGTTCTTAGAATGAATAAATTTAGTTTTGAGATTTTGAGTGTTGGCTCTAGCTCTCATAATAACTGTTGAATAATCAATGTACAGGTATTTCTGTGTTCCCATTTCTATTTAAATGGAATGGCAGGTTATTTTGTGTTTATATATTTTTGCTTGCTTTTACTTGATTTCTGTCAAAACCAGTTTATTTGGATACATCCTTCCTCACTGATTGAGTCATTTAACAGAAATCTTCTAACCATGTACATACTAATATCTAGGAGTTTATAGCAGAGTGAAGGAACTCATAGTTAGTCAAGAAAAGAAAAATGTCCTTTTAAATATGATTTGATAAATGCTGTACTGGAGGTACGTTGGTTTTTAAGTCTTACTTACCACTGGGACTATATATAAGACCAGAAAGTTTTCAACTTCATGGCAGTTATGGTATTGCACTTTATACTATAAAATGTAGTGGTAACTAGTTTGGCTGGAGATATTTCATTATTATATCTAATATTTGTTGTTTTAATATTTTAGTACATAAAACTTATAACTTCTTCCCCTTAGTACCTTTCTGTTTCACATTTGAAACATGTTTACTATTCAGGGTAAAGGTACTTCAAGTGAAGAAGTGAATCTGAGTCACATGGTACCCTATGAGCCAGTTGCAGAAGAAAAAGCAAAGGAATTACCTGAATGGAGTGAGAAAGTGGCTCAAAACATTTTGTCAGGTATAACTTTTTCCCCTTTAATGTGAAACCTTTGGGACCCATAAAAGAGTATTTAGGAAGATAATGTTTTATATTTTGGTTCTAAATGATTAGTTTATAAACACTTAAAACAAAAATTGAAGGAACATATTGACATATAGGTGTAAGTTCTTTTTCATTTATTCTCTTTTATTCTTGGGAAAATTGATAGTGAAAAGCTTCAGGAATCTCCAAACAGTTCTGAACATAAAATTAGTTATTTTCCATTTCCCTTTGAAATTTCCTTTTAATCCTTTTATTCCCGCCCCCCCCCCCCCCCGCCCCTTTCCTCTCCACAACCAAAAAATGGTAAGATATTCATCTGTCTTTGGAAGCAAAGCGGCACTCCCTTACCACACAGATGTGCAAGCATGAGAAGATATAAGGATTACAGCCAAGCTGTTTGGAGAGTAGTCCCTACTATTTAATTGTGGTTACAATGGGCTTCAGACTAATTATTTTAAAACCAGAATGGTCATTGCTGATATATATCTTTCTTTTCTTTTTTTTTTTAAATTAAATCTTTATTGTTCAGATTATTACAGTTGTTCCTCTTTTTTCCCCCCATAGCTCTCCTCCACCCAGTTCCCACCCCACCCTCTATCCTTACCCCTCCCACTGTCCTCATCCATAGGTATACGATTTTTGTCCAGTCTCTTCCTGCACCCTCACACCCCTTTCCCCCCAAACATTGTCAGTCCACTATCTTTCTATGCCCCTGGTTCTATTATATTCACCAGTTTACTCTGTTCATCAGATTTTTTATTCACTTGATATTTAGATTCACTTGTTGATAGACATGTATTTGCTGTTCATAATTTTTATCTTTACCTTTTTCTTCTTCCTCTTCTTAAAGAATACCTTTCAGCATTTCATATAATACTGGTTTGGTGGTGATGCACTCCTTTAGCTTTTTCTTATCTGTGAAGCTCTTTATCTGACCTTCAATTCTGAATGATAGCTTTGCTGGATAAAGTAATCTTGGTTGTAGGTTCTTGGTATTCATCACTTTGAATATTTCTTGCCACTCCCTTCTGGCCTGCATAGTTTCTGTTGAGAAATCAGCTGACAGTCGTATGGGTACTCCCTTGTAGGTAACTGACTTTTTTTCTCTTGCTGCTTTTAAGATTCTCTCCTTGTCTTTTGCTCTTGGCATTTTAATTATGATGTGTCTTGGTGTGGTCCTCTTTGGATTCCTTTTGTTTGGGGTTCTCTGCGCTTCCTGGACTTGTAAGTCTATTTCTTTCACCAGGTAGGGGAAGTTTTCTGTCATTATTTCTTCAAATAGGTTTTCAATATCTTGCTCTCTCTCTTCTTCTGGAACCCCTATAAAACAGATGTTGGTGCGCTTAAAGCTGTCCCAGAGGCTCCTTACACTATCTTCATATTTTTGGATTCTTTTTTCATTTTCCTTTTCTGGTTGGGTATTTTTTGCTTCTTCGTATTTCAAATCTTTGCTTGATTCTTGGGATCCTCTTGTCTGCTGTTGGATCTCTATATATTATTCTTTATTTCTGTCAGTGTATGCTTAATTTCTAGTTGGTCTTTTTTCATATCCTCCAGGGTCTCACTAAATCTATTGGCAGTTTCTAGAAAATTCTTGAAAAACCTTAAAAGTGTGGTTTTGAACTCTATATCCAGTAGTTTGTTTTCCTCCATTTCTGTCATTTGTGACCTGTTTCTTTGTCTCTGCATTTTGGCTGCTTCCCTGTGTTGATAGAGTGGCTTTGTGTGCTAGGTGTCCTGTAGGGCCCAGTGGCTCAGCCTCCCCAATTACCTGAGGTGGACACTCTTGGTGCACCCCTTTGTGGGCTTTGTGCACAGTCTTGTTGTAGTTAAGCCTTGATTATTGTAGGTATCACTGGGAGGAATTGACCTCCAGGCCAGTTGGCTGTGAGAATCAGCTGTGTCTAAGGTGGGAGAACTTCTGTGCTGAAGACACCCTTATGGGGCAAGACTTGCTTCAATGGGGCTTTGGTGCTCACTGAGTCTGCCCCCTGAGTGTGTCCCTTATGTTAATCAGCTTAACAATAACCCACAACCGTCGGACCAACTAGAGTGTGTCCCTTATGGATCTGCGGAGTTGTAATCTGGATGGTCCCACTCTGACCACTGGGTACACTGGCTCTTGGATCTAAGGAGGTGTTAATTTAGCCTCTTCCTGAGGCTATCCAGCAGGAGCTACGAAGAGATCTGCAGATTCCCCTTCCTTGTTTGGGGTTTGGAGGTGCTCAGATGAGGCCCAGCTGTGAAGCAATGCAAGCTGCTGTGGGGCCTTGGGCCTTCTTTTGGAAGCCCGGGGTCTCTCTGATCTAGCTGCAGTTTGTTAGTTAATTTTCAGATTGCAAAGGGCCAGGGCATTCATATGCAAAAGCCTCTGCCACAGCTTGGGTGGGGCGGGGTCTCAGGGAATCAACAGGGAGGAGCAAGCAGCTATGGCTGATCCTCAGCCCTGCCCTAAGAGGCCCCGAATCTCAGTGTCCTGCTAATCGCTGCAAGCACCTCTGAGAGAAAGCCGCCCTCGAGTTCCACCTGCTGCCAGACAGTCCAGTTTCTTCCTGTATGAGTCTGGGTCCCCAGAGACTCAACCAGAACTGGAGTTCAGAGCAGTCGGGGGCTTGTGACTCCCTCCCGATTCAAAAAGACAGCCGCGTCCTCAGTTGCCAGCCCCTTTCCGCACGCTCGAGCCTCCGTACCTCTGCACTTTACTTCCGCACCTCCTCTGAATCTCAGTGTGCCTTTCTCTTTCCTTCTAGTTGTAGAATTTCCACTCAGCCAGCTTTCCTATAGTTCTGGATGATGTCCGTTTTGTCTTTTAGTTGTATTTTTGAAGTTGTTGTGGGAGGCAGCAATTTCGGGTGTTTACCTATGCTGCCATCTTGGTTTCTCTCTCTCTTTCTTTAATTAGTTAACATTTGAGCTTTTCAACTGTAATAGCTCTCAGATTTAGACCACCTACTTTAGTTTAAAAAAACATTGCCAGTCACTATTCAGTAAGACAAATCCATGACTCAATAATGGGATCTTCACCAATCATTTAAAAGACTATTGATACAGGTTTTCATCTTGTAGTAAAAATTCATTAAACTAATAAAGTTGTAGGAAATTGCCAACATGAAACCACCAAGCTAAAATAAGTGAAAAATAACCATTAGTTGGGAGTTAACAAATTATTTTACCCAGTTTCAAAATGCTGCTTGAATCAAGAAGAAAAAAATGAAGCCAATTTTTAAAAATATAATTGTAACAGTTAAAATTGACACTTGAAAGAGATTTTCAAAGAAGTTGTAAAGAAAAACCTTTACTCTTACTACCTTGCCCCTTACCTTTACAGGCTGCTAAGCTGTTATTAGGTCAGTATTCATGTGTGCCTGTATCCACACTTATGTAGATAATTAAATTCAAAGGTCATTTTCTTAAGTTGTTTGAGTTTATACTGCTATAAGATTGTCCATTTACTATCACTTTGTAACAAATCATCCCACACCGAATCTCATGAAATGACAAACATTTTTTTTTATGCTTAGGAATTCTTTGGGCCAGGTATTCAAAAAGGTCACAGCAAGGATGGCTTATATCTGCTTCATGATGCTAGGGCCTTAGCTAGGAAAACTCAGGCTGACTAGTAACTCAATAACTGGGGGGCTGACATCATTTGAAGCTCCTTCACTCACACATCTGGCATCCAGTTTGGGAGAACTCAAAATCTAGGACTGCCAAAAATAGTGCCTACACATGGCTTTTCCATGCAGCTTGACTTCAGCATGAAGGCCTTAAGCTGGTCTGGCTTCTCTGTGGTAGCTCAGAGTTTCAAGCATGAATGGTCCAGCAAGCAGGCAGAAGCTGCATTACCCTTTCTGACATTTTCTTGGAAATTTCCAACGTTACTCATTACAAGCAAATAACAAACCTGTCTAGGTTCAAGGGGATGTGACATAGATTCCACTTCTTAATGGGAAGAATGTCAAGATTATGTTGAAAGAAAATGTGGAATAAGAGACACTGTTTGGGGGCATTTTTAGAAAATACCACATACCGCAAAGTCTTAGGCCTCCAAGGTACTACACAGATTCTACAGGCTAGTTCTACTCAAGGAAGTGAAGCATCTTTAGAACCATCTAATCCTGGGGAGAGATCTCTTTAGAGCTTTCAGAAGAACTCTCAGTGTCTTCAGGCTTGTAACTCTTTTCTTTTTCATGCTATACCCTGAGGGCTAGAGATCTAGGAATTCCCCTAACAGTTGGTGACATTAAAACCATTTAAATGCCAATCAGAGTATATGTCTCTTATGTGCTTTTTAATAAGTGGATGAAATACCATTAGCTCACCAAATACTTAAGGCTCAAGTGACAAAGAGGTGCAGAAAATACTAAAGATTTACTCCAGGGAAAATTATCTGGTTTGTCAAGAGACTATTTCTACCTGACTCATGCAGATTCTGTACAAAGATGAGTAACCAGGTATCGAAATTGAGCTCATTCATCATAGCCCAAGATTGATTCCTGTTCACTTGTCAAAGGATAAGTAAAATTAGTAAAATTTATAGTCTTGTTTTAAAAATGTAAAAGGTGAAAAAAGTTAAATAACTGCTTAAAATTTACCTGTGTAGAATATTGGCTTGAGAAGTCTAGACTTATGTTTTAAAAAGGCAGCTATCAAACATTTTAGATGGAGTAGAGTCTAATAAGCTAATTTGGGAGGAGGTAGAGGATTGGTGATAATAGACTGATTTGAGTTACATCATTTTAAGTCATCTGCCAACCTCTCACTTATTCAGCAAACATTCATGGCTGGCTATATCTTAGCATTAACTGGGTGCATAGGATGCAAACATGGATAGAATAAATCTATATCTGGCATTATACATGCCATTTAAAAGCTCTTAATGGCTACTAATGAAATGCTATATTCCTTATCTTCTATTGCAATGTCTACAGTTTGAATGTATTTATCACCTCTGTTATGCTTCTCCATGGTGATGGCTTATTTATAATTTGCATCTAGTATTTCTCATTAGTCCCATGACTTTTCATTTATCTCATTTCCATTTTTTTTTTCTCATTCATTAATGGAATTCTTCCCTCATTTTTTATAGAGTTGCATCATAGTTGTTTAGTCTACTTGAGCTCTCCTTTGTTTCATTGTCACTTATTTTATGGTATTGTTGTATTGGAAATCAGTGAGCTAAACAAAGGATGCCTTAATCAGTAAGCCAAATTTGGAGTCTTTATTATGCCAGTGGTCTGAGGAGTTGCCTCTCAAAGTCTTGAGCCAAAAAAACATGGAGGAAATTTTCCCTTTATACTTCCCCATTGTCTTTGTCTCCCAAATATGGGATGGGACTTCCGGACCTTTCATGGCTTTGAAAAAACCCTAGTGCTGGGATGGGGCAGTGAGACTATATCTCAAGGCCTGGCCTGGTGCTAGTATTGCTAACTCCGTCTGGGGGTTGTATTGTTCATGGTTTATGGCTTTTCTAAAATGGGAGTAGTGCTTAAGTAAACAGGTCTTGCAAGACAGGACAATTAAGAGGGAGCAGTGACTAGAGTCAGACTGTAGGCCGATAGAATGTACATTAGATTACTGGCACAGACTCAGAAGGACAGGATGGAGTCAGGCCTTTCAAGGCCCATTTTTCAGTATCTCACTCTTCCTCTCTCAAGTTCACCTGGTTTTTACTTCTTAAAACTTCTCAACCTACAACTTAACTCTAGAAACACATTTTTTTTTTTTTTTTTTTTTTACTAGACATCTTCAATCCCTTTATTGTTATGGGAACTCATGGATGAAACCTGTTTGCCTGAGTTTGAGATCTGATCCTCTCCCAAGGGTAGGACACTGGTGGCAGGGTTAGAACTGAAAGTAGACATGTTTACTGAAACAGGAAAAGAAATATATCAGTTTTTCTAATCAGTTATATTTGGCATATTTTGTTGCTAGTGTTTTAAAATAGTTATGGTTTTCACATGATCACTGGATACTTGCTCATTCATAGGCTGAAGTAGTAAGAACCATGCAACAGACCTAGGCAGGACATAAGTATTTTACATGTCTAATTTTAAAAACTAGATTCAGGGTATTGCTAAAAAGGATATAGTTAAAATTATAAGCTCTCTCCAGGGCAGGGTAACACTTTCCGCCCCCTCTTAAGAGGAACCTTTCTCCTTGTGCATTTTTTCTTGCTTCTCCCATTTCCTTCCCACTTCTTCACCCACATGCCCCTTGGGGGCCTATTCACTAGAGAAGTCTCTGCCATCCTGCTATCCCTCTGACAGTCTCTTTTATTCATGCTGCAAGAAGCCCAAGGAAAGCAAAGGACTAGAGCAGCCGTGGGCAAACTACGGCCCGCGGGCCCCGTTTGAAATAAATAAAACTAAAAAAAAAAAATACCGTACCCTTTTATGTAATGATGTTTACTTTGAATTTATATTAGCTCACACAAACACTCCATCCATGCTTTTGTTCCGGCCCTCCTGTCCAGTTTAAGAACCCATTGTGGCCCTCGAGTCAAAAAGTTTGCCCACCCCTGGACTAGAGCCTACTCTCATAAGAAATAGTTACACCAACTAGGCCTCTCAGTTTTCTTCTCTCTAGGTTTTTTCTTCTCATGCATTCCTTCAGTGATCTCATGTCTTTGTCATTTACGTTTATGTTGCAAGCTAAAAAGTGCTGGGACTCAAAGGTTTGGGTTTAAGATTGAGGGAGCAACAGGGCCCCCTGTCTTATGCCTTTAGACTAAAGCAAGCAAGCAAGAGTTCTGCTTGGTGTTTGAGATATAGATTCTTTGGTTTCCAGTTAGCATTCTTTGTGTCTATTACCCTAAAGGACTCCATGGGGAGAACATGGTGCTTGGACTAAGGCAAAAAGAACAAGGATATCTGAGTCTTCTAGCCAAATACTATCTTAATGGCACCACTACCCCAAATTAGTCCCTAACAATAGTATATTGTGGTACACAGATACACCTATAAGCTGCAGTGGCAGCAAACAGTGGTACAGAATTCTTATTGAGTGGTATAAGCATTAAAGATGAATTTACTTAGTAAATGTGTATATTCCAGACAGAAAACTGTAAGTGCAAAAAGTTGGCTTGAAAATTTATGGCATGTTTGGAATCTGATATTTGAACTCCTTGGATTTTTTCCTGCTGATCAGTTAGTTATTAAAGGGTTTAAAGGTATAATCACCCTATAATATTATGCATTTTAAAATTATCTTTTAAAAGGTGCTTCCTGGGTAAGTTGGGGTTTAGTTAAAGGTGCTGAATTTACTGGCAAAGCAATCCAGAAAGGGGCTTCTAAACTCCGAGAACGGATTCAACCAGAAGAAAAACCGGCGGAAGTTAGTCCAGCTGTGACCAGGGGACTTCATATAGCAAAGCAGGCTACAGGAGGAGCAGCGAAAGTCAGTCAGTTCCTGGGTAAGATGATTTTAGATGGCTTTACTTCTTTTCAGTTAAATGACAAATAATCTCTTAATTCAAGTTAATCTGAATGCTCAATTTAGTTTATCTTTAAGAGTAAAGAATTAGAACAAAGCAGTTTCATCTTTCAAGTCATAGTTGAATCTATAGACCAGCAACATCAACCTATCAGAGCCTTAACAATATTTCTGAAATTGACATACTGATTCAGAATCTGCATTTTTATGAGCTCCCTAGGTGATTTTTACTTGCGTATAAAAAGTTTGAGAAACACTGGTTAAAGGGTTGTTTTGATCATGTTAGAGAAGAGAGCATCTGTATCTTTGAAAAGGAATGGTCCTGAATATGTGTTTACTATCCTTGAATATGACACATTTTTTAAATAATATTTTTTATTGATTTTATTTTCTATTTTTAATATATATATATTTTTATTGATTCGGGGAGGAAGGGAGAGGGAGAGATAGACGCATCAAGCATTGATCAGCTGCCTCCTGCACAACCCCCACTGGGGATTGAGCCCGAAACCCAGGCATGTGCCCTGACCAGGAATCAAACCATGACCTCCTGGTTCATAGGTTGGTGCTCAACCACTGAGCCACACTGGTTAGGCAAATATGACACATTCTTTTAAGGACTGTTCACTGCATGGTAGTTGAGGGTCAAGAGAAAGGGATATATTGTTTGAATAAAGCTGATTTAGTGATTCTGGTGTCAGCCTTCCCAAGCAATATGCTTCTACCTACCCTTCTTTGACAACTCTAAAGTTTGGTATTTTAAGATAGATAGCTTCTTAGAGATTATCTTTAAATTTTTTAAGATTGTCTTTTTGTTATCTAGTTTTCTTTTGAATCAGATTTTGGTTTGTTTACTTTTATGTAGATTTAAATACTTTACTACTATTTCAGTGAGATATCTGTGGACATGGAGAAAAAATACAAATACCCTTAGCTGGAAAACCTGAAAGGTGGATCTACCATCTTGCATTGCAGCAATCAGATAGAAAAGGTAGATCCTTCTCTCTTTTTTTTAAAAAAAATATATATATATATATTTTTTTTATTGATTTTAGAGAGGAAGGGAGAGAGAGATAGAAATATCAATGATGAGAGAGAATCATTGATCGGCTGCCTCCTGCATGCCCCCCACTGGGGATTGAGCCCGCAACCTAGGTATGTGCCCTTGACTAAAATGAAACCTGGGACCCTTCAGTCCTCAGGCCGATGCTCTATCCACTGAGCCACACCAGCTAGGACAGATCCTTCTCTTTTAAGCTAATTGCCAAAAAGAACATATATTTGAAGCAGGATTCAAAGTATCAGTAGGCTCTGAAGACACATCCTTAAACCAAACAATAGACTTTGTTTAAAAAATAGCCAGCCTTGGTTCTTATCCTTAAACAGAAATGGTAACATGCAGTAAAACAACTTTAGATGCTTGTGTAAGAATTTTATTAAAGTAGAGTGGTAAAATCAAGGGAAGAATACATTATTTCAAAAGTTGGGTTTTTTTTTTATGATTATGTAGTTGATGGAGTTTGCACTGTAGCAAATTGTGTTGGGAAGGAACTAGCTCCACATGTCAAGAAGCATGGAAGCAAACTTGTTCCAGAATCACTTAAAAAAGACAGAAATGGGAAGTCTCCCCTGGATGGTGCTATGGTCGTGGCAGCAAGTAGTGTTCAAGGTAACATAAAGGCCAGAAATTTAAACTAGGAAAGTCTATTTGCTATAGGCTACTTTTACTTACTTTTAAATATATTTGCAGGATTTTCAACTGTCTGGCAGGGATTGGAATGTGCTGCTAAATGCATTGTTAACAATGTTTCAGCAGAAACAGTACAAACTGTCAGATACAAGTAAGTTGAATTTTATATTTTTAATTTGTATTTATTTATTTTTTTTAGTATTTCTTACTGATTTCAGAGAGGAAGGAAGAGGGAGAGAGAAATATATAAACATCAGTGATGAGAGAGCATGATTGATTGGCTGCTATCTGCATGTCCCACACCTGAGGATTGAGCCCATAACCCAGACATATGACCTGAGCAGGAATCAAATTGGGATCTCCTGTTTCTAGGTCAATGCTCAACTACTGAGCACTGACCTACCAGGCCAAATTTTAATGATTAAATCTCTTACAGCATTTGTAAAATCCAGCACAGTTAAAATGATTATGTAGTTATCTTTATTAAGTATCTGAGACCTTTTTTTTACTTGTTATTTTTCTTAAGGAGAAGAATATTTTTAGCAAATAATAGAATTACTGTGATTTTTGCCTTACATTACTAATTGTTATAAATAGCTTTTCATCATTAATGCAAAAGAATAGATTATTTTTATAAAGCCTGGAGTTTTTGTATACCTTATTAACTTCATGTTCTTGATGGGTGATGTTTGTCTGTAGTTTTGATAGGAAAATTGAATTATAATTAAGCTATCGTGTCTTGTAAATATTAGCTCTTTATGTATATCTTATTTGAATCTACCACTATACATTTGTATTGGAATGGACAGATTGTATGTCTTCTATTACATATATTAACTAGGGACCCAGTGCACAAATTTGTGCACCTTGAAAGGAACTGTGGGTTGCAAGGCTGCGGTGGGCATGGGCAGGTTTTGGCCCATCCTCCATGCCCCCGTGGAGCCCCTCCCGTTGTGGCCCCTGGTCCCCTGTCTGCTAGCAGCCCTGCTTTCGCCACTGCCGCTCCCACGCGCTAATGGTACTGGCTCCGCTTGCACCCACTGATGGCACGGAGCAATTGGGGCCAGCACCAGCAGTGGGTGCAAGCGGGGCCAGCGCCTACAGCGGGTGTGAGAGGCGGCTGCCGGCCCCGATCACCCCTCAGGAGTCAGAGGAGGTGGAGAAGCCATGAGGGGCGATCGGGACCAACAGCCACCTCTTGCACCCACTGACGGTGCTGAGCGATCAGGGCTGGTGCCGGGCGCTGTCAGTGGGTACAAGTGGCGGCTCCAGTGCCGGCAGCGGGTGCCAGCGGGGCCGACGCTGGCAGCAGGTGCAAGCACCGGGCAGGACCGTGGTGCATGGGAGCAAAGAATTTTTAGTAACCACCAGAGGCTTGCCCCGATAACAGCGACCGGCGCCCTGCCTTAGCCTGGTGCCCCCGCTCACCTGCTCCATCATCCCACCGCGGCCAATGCCCACCATGTTCCCCGCTCTGCTGCTTGCTGCCAATGCACTCCATGTTCCATGCGCGCGCCCTCTGGTGGTCAGTGCACATCATAGCGACCGGTTGTTTGGTTGTTTGGTCTATTTGCATATTAGCCTTTTATTATATAGGATGAATGGACAGAGAAGTTAATGATTTGCCCAAGCTCATCTGATTAGTGCTGTTATTAAAGATGAGACTTAAAACAGGATCTTCTGATTTTGCCTCTTTATTCTGTTTTTATAAGTACTAGAAGAATCAACTTCTAAAAATTTAATCTAGTATAAAGGACCTCAGTTGCTTTCTTAGTTTTGAATTAGTTTAGATCTTAATATTGAATGTTTTTTAAAGAAAAAAGTAATAATGGTGTTCTCAACTCTTAGCTACTTGTGTTAATTATCTACTCACTGACAACATTCGAATTCATACTTTTGTAACAGACATTGTGCTTAGTGCTTTTCATGTGTACTGTATTATTTAATCTTTCATGCTATTATCTCCATTTCACAGATGAGGAAACCAAAGCATAGAGATGTTAAATACCTTGTTAAAAATTATACCCCCAGTAAGTAGTAGAGCTGGGATATAAGTCGGGTGACCTTTGTCATGCAGTGTCAGAGAATGGTATGAGGGTACCATTTTCCTTGGTGGGACTTCTGTGTAAGTTTAGTATTTAGAATTATTTTTCACCACTGCCTAGCATGTATTTATTTTTGTTTATTTATATATATTTTTGCTTGTTTGTTAATCCTTACCTGAGGACATTTTTCCATTGATTTTTAGAGAGAGTGGAAGGGAGGGGGAGGGAAAGAGAAACATCAATGTGACAGACACATTGATGGTTGCCTCCCACACATGGCTGGGGGATCGAGCCTGCAACCAAGGTACATGCCCTTGAATGGAATCGAACTCATGACCCTTCAGTCTGCAGACCGATGCTCTATCCACTGACCCAAACTGGCTAGGATGCCTAGCATGTATTTAGATTCCTTCCCACCACAGTACATTACCACTGGCTTAGGAAATACTAACTTAATTTCCTAACTTGATTTGATTTGTTCATTCTGAGACATGCATACCTTTGAAATAAAGCAAGTTGGCACATCATCTTGGACTGTCAATTTTATCAAAAGATTAGATAAGAAAATACAGAGCAGATCAGAGAATCTTTAGATGGAAATGTAAAACCCAAGTTTCCCTGCTCACTTCTTGCTACTCTTAGCATTGACTTTTGACTAATACTCTTTGTGTTGTGCCTCTGAGGTTACTTTGATGGATCAGCTATAATTAGAAAATAGTTTCTTCTTTGGTTGCAAGAGCATGAGAAGGTCAGAAGTTCTTTTAGGCCCAAAGTGAATTATTTTTAGACTAGAGGCCCAGGGAACGTATTTGTGCACAAGTGGCATCTGGCCAGCCCACCCTGATCAGGATTGATCGGGCTGGGCCAGCTGGGGGGAGGGGCCATGGGCAGTTGGCTGGCTGACCCCACCCCGAATTGGGGAGGGGTCACGGGGAGTTGGTGGGCTGTCCCCACCCCCTGGTCAAACTCCTGGTTGAACTTCAGGTTGAACTCAAGGTGGAGGGGACAATTTACATATTAGCCTTTTATTATATAGGATTGCCGGGGTCCAACCCCAGCAGGTCCAGGGGTTCCCAAAGGCGTAGACGGAGTCGGCGAAGAAGGAAGGACACGGAGACAGTGTTCAGTTGATCAGCAGCCTAGCCAGGATCTCCAGCCAGGATCTCCAGCCAAGTTCTGGTCTGGATCTCCAGCGAAGTTCTGCTGCTGTTTATTGTCTTGTTATATCCGTATTTATCCCAGTTGATTTTAATCCTGTCAATTTCTATTACAAAGGTTAAGGCGTTTCTTATCTCCATTCCAGGGAGTAAAGATTATGTAGCTTAAGCATGATTGTTTGTAGTGATTAACTACCCGCCTGGCACTTAGTTAAGGAGTTTCATCCCCTCCCTGACTTCAGGGAAAAATTCCTACCTGGGAAAACAACCTTTCTAGGAGAGGCATCCCCTCCCTGACTTCAGGGAAAAATTCCTACCTGGGGAAACAACCTTTCTCGGAGAGGTGACCTTGGTTAAAACACACAGCGCTAAGGGGAGCAAACATATTAAGAACAGTATGCTATATACGCCAGGTCCCTTGAAACATATGCTGTGCAGATGTTTCTTTCCTGCAGCGACTGTGTCAAGCAGCAAGGATGGACCGGCTTCCGGCATAGAATTAACAGTGTCATTTGTTAGCACAGATATTTAGGCAGTCAGATATTAGAAAGATATTAGAAAGTAGGAAGTACTTTATTGGCTTTGTCCATTTCCTAGTTTAATAGAAAAAAATGCTTACCTAAGTACCATTAAGTAGAGCCTTCTTAAAGCTTTGGGGTTCGCATAACTAAGGAAGTATAGGTTTTGATATAGATTTTGTATTTTTGGTCCTTAAGTGAGGAGAATTTAATACGATGAATAGCATACTTAGCAGTGGTTCTGAACTAATTTATTTCTGTTATGGTGTGTATTGCTATTCTTTTTATCCTTTTCTTCCAAAGATTCATGGAGTGAAAAAAAGTAGGCAAGTAGGCATATAGTTAGATAAGTTTTTATTTTTAACTATAAGGGTACTTTAATCTTAGCAGTAAAAGGTGAAAGATTTATACGATCTGAAGATAAACCAGAGTAGTGATTTAAATAGAAACTTGGAAAGATGGGAGGGGAAGTGGGGAATAAAGAGTTTTATCCAAGAAATACTGTTTTATCACTCAATAATCTGGCCCAAAAGTAGGCATTTGTTTTTTTTAAATATATTTTTACTGATTTCAGAGAGGAAGGGAGATGGCAGAGAGAGAAACATCAATAATGAGAGAGAACCAATGATCAACTGCCTCCTGCATGCCCCACACTGGGGATCAAGCCCACAACCCAGGTATATTGAACTAGGAATTGAACCAAGACCTCCTGGTTCATAAATTAATGCTCAATCACTGAGCCACGCTGTATGGGTGAAATTTTCTTTTAAGCGAAGAAACTGCAAATATTAAATCAGGTATTTATCACTGAAGAATTGGAAGAGCCAATTGTTCTCTCATTTAATTCTGTTCTCATTTATTTATGTAAATTGATATTTATTAACATGTATGAATGTAAATGTAATTTATTTACATTTATGAATTTTCATTTATTTACACTATGAAAAAGTATTTGATAGAGTGAGCATCTGTGTTTTTGTACTCTAATCCAACTGATAATAGTATAAAAAAGAAACTTTGTATTCTATTACCTATGATAAATTACTCTCCCAGTAATTATTTTTTTTAAAATATATTTTATTGATTTTTTTTACAGAGAGGAAGGGAGAGAGATAGAGAGTTAGAAACATCGATGAGAGAGAAACATCGATCAGCTGCTTCATGCACACCTCCTACTGGGGATGTGCCCGCAACCAAGGTACATGCCCTTGACTGGAACCGAACCTGGGACCCTCCATTCTGCAGGCCAATACTCTATCCACTGAGCCAAACCAGTCAGGGCTCCCAGTAATTATTTTAAATTTTCCTTAATTCTATTCCTTATACTTATAAGAAAAACAAATGTCTTATATTAATTTTCTTAATCTGATTTTTGGTGGTATAAGCCAATACAGAGGATTATCTATTTTGTTTAGACACATTTAGAAGTAGATTGTGTTAAGAGAAGTATATTTTCTGTCTTTTATGCTTTTGATTATGATTCAGGACCATGTTCATTGATTATGAATGGTTTGTTTACCTGAGGATCTATATAGTTAATTATACTCTTACAATTTGTAGGTAAATGTATAAGAACTATTAAGATTATTTATTTTTGTCAATTACATTAATACTTTTGTCTTATTTTAGATTTAGGAACCTGAAGACCTGCAGGAACAATGAAAAGTAATAAGTAATTTCAAAACTGCTATACTTAATTTCAGTATAGTATCTAATACATAATTCATCACTGTTCTACATAGCTTCTGAATTCACGTTAGCACCTTTTCCCCCACTTTAAATTGTTTAGAGGAAAATAATTTAAGTAAGGTATATATTTTGTCGTAGAACACACATTTGTGAAGAATTAGCTTAGCAAAAATATTTTACTGTAAGGAATTTATTACTCTTTTAAGGTATAATGTTTTGTTAGTTTAGTGAATTTTAATTAAAATTCCCCTTAAATTTGCACTTGGTAAAGGTGCAAATATAAATCTCTTGCGGGTAACTCTTTTGGCAGATGCCATATTATCCAAAACTAGTTGTATCCTATATAATAAAAGCCTGATATGCTAAGTGTCCGGTCTTATGGTGACTGGTTGACTGTTCAACCAATCAAAGTGTAATATGCTAATGATATGCTAAGGCCGCTCAGCTGCTCACTATAACATGCACTGACCACCAGGGGGCAGACAGTTGACTGGTCGACCAGTCGCTATGATGAGCACTGACCACCAGGGGGTAGACACTCCAACCGATAGGTTAGCTTGCTGCTGGGGTCCGGCCAATCAGGACTGAGCAAGATGGGGCAGACATGTCTTCGAGCCCTCTCACGGTCCCTCCCCGGCCTGACTGTGCACTGGTGGGGAGCCTAGTCCTGGCCTGCGCCCTCTCGCAATCCGGGACCCTTCAGGGGATGTCGGAACTCCGGTTTCAGCCTGATCCCATGGGCCACTCCCCTCGTGAGGGTGCCAGCACAGGGCTCACGCAGCTGGGGCACCACAAGCCTCTCCCGATTGGGACTGATTGGGTGCGAGCCTGCAGCAGGCTCAGTGGGACTGGGATGAGTGGGAGCGGCAAGTAGGGAGCTGTAGGCAGCGTTGGACTGTGGGTTTTGGCCCGATCCCTGCAGGCCACCTAGAGGGGCCCCACCCATACATGAATTCATGTACCAGGCCTCTAGTATAATATATACTCAGGAGTTACATAGGAGCAGTCTTCTCTTTCCTATTGGTAACTATACAAATATATAAACACCGGCATTATATCCTTCACTTATTTTTTCTTGTTTTCTAAATACTCTCAGTTCCTTTAATAATTTCATACACAGTATTATTCATGAGCATTCTTTTCAAAATATGGAACCCAGAATTGAATCTAATATTCCAGATTGAATACAGTTGGATTTGCCACCCTTGTTTTGGTCATATTTGGCATTTGATAAATGAAGCACACAAGACAAAGAATATATGTTTTTAGTAGCTATTTATTGACCCATATCAAAGTTGATATTTTTTTTAAATGATCCTTTTATTTAAAATCTAAATCTTCATCTTTTTTTTTGGACGCTTGATATTTGTACTTAAAATTAAGAACTTCATATTTACACTTGCTTAATTCCACTTTGTTAATTTTGACTCCTTATTAAGTCTGTTCTTCATTTTGGCTTCAGATTTTGATGTGTGTCTGTCATATTAACCTTCATTTTGTGTTATCTGTAGATTTGAAAGACATGTCTTTTTTACGTCTTAGATTTCCCCCTCACAACTTTTCATGGATAAGATAATCACATGCTTACTATAACCTGTCCTCCTGATTGATTTTCTCCATTTAATGCTTTCTAAGATTGGTGTTTACAAATCTCCTAACAGTATATTCTCATGTCACTCACCTTTCAATTTTGTCTTATCAAACTACTTCTCAGCGTCGTTGTCTTCCACACTCATTCATTAAGTATGGGTTCTAAGGTTTACTTTATGCTCTATCCTTTATACTTTTCCTGAATATCATCTATACATATGACTGTAGTTACCACCTATATGCCAGCAACTCTAAATTCTGTTCCTTATTAACTTTTCTCTTAATCTTCAGGCTTATATGTCCTAACTAAATAACCACTACAGCCATTCAGTCACCAGAACCTTTTTGTTGTTGTTTTTTGTATTCATCCCTTTTTCTCCAGTCTCATTATCAGTACCTTAGAATATATCTCATCCAGTTCACAGCTTGTTTCCTTTCCCTTAAATCCTTACAATTCACAATGTAACCTGAGTTATATTTTTTTAAAACCTAAGTTTGCATGCCATTCCCACTGATTTCAAGATAAAGTTTAAATTCTTCAGCTTCACCTACAAGGTTCTTCATAAATTGGCCACAACCCACCTGCCATTAGTCTGTTTGGTGAATAGCCTAGTAAGAAGCTATTTCTTTTTTAATTATTTGAGGTTGTTAATATTTCTGAGAATAATTTTGAAGTTTGTATGACTGAAATTTTGTTATAATTAGTGAAATTTACAATTACTGCCAATGTGCTCTCTGTAGACATTACTGAATGCACTGGGAAAAGGTCAGAAAAATCTCAAGTTATAAATTGAATCCCATTGACTTATTTAGAGCATATTTTATATTCATTTTTTATTGTTCTTCAGTTGGTATGGTACGGATAATCCATATATAAAATCTATTTTAAAAGCGCTAATTAAAATTAACTTTTTAAAAAGTAACATTTCAAAAATAAGCTTTATCTTTTTGTTAGAGATAGGCTTTCTAGGAGTTTTTAGCATTGTCGTTTGAATCTAAATGAAGAAAAGCATTGAAAAGTTATTTATCAAGAAAGAGAAGAATAGATACCTGCCAGCAATACTGGTTCTAAGGCTTATTGGGAAACAGAGGTGATAGGTGAGGATGTATTTAAAAAAAAAACAAAAACATAACTGCTGAGCTACTTTACAAGGCCTTTAAAAATAATTAAATATTTAGTACTATGGAAATTTTAAAGTACAAATCCCATTTATGAGATAAAGAAGATGAAATTTATGAAGTGTATAAAGGTCAAGACTTAACTAAGGTCATATGGTTAGTTGTTATTAGAATCTAGTTTTCTGACTCTTAGTTTGGCACTTTTTTCCAAATTAACAGGAATTTAGAGGTGTTAAACTAATTGGATAGAATAGGGAACATTCCAAATATTCAAAAGTGAAGGTTTAAGTTACCATGTCACTTCATTGTAGCTCACAGTCATGGAGAGATCTGCCATAAGAGAAAGCTGCTTAACCAAGAGTTGTTGTGGTCACTCTTCTATTGCTAAAACTGCCACTGCCCCTTTGTTCTCATTCAGCCTTAGTCATTGCCATGTGATGTTAGTATTGTGACTGGGGCTTGGTTGACAATGAGAATGCTCATGTGTTCTGCAACATCAGCAAATCCTGTGGAATACTCTGGGGTTGCAAAGCAATAGGGACTGGCAGAAAGCATTTCAAGAAGCTTTTCTGTAGTCCGGTATCTAGGGAGAAAGCCCTAATCAAGACTGTTATAGATGTAAAGTTTGACAGATCATAGGTTCTGCTAAAGTTAACATTAGGCAAAGGACAAAATAAAATCATTCAGGACCATAGATTACTTCACTTTTCTAGACCTGAGGTTGAAACAAGCATGAACAAGCCAGTAGGATCACAAAGCACCTGTTCTAGGCCAGGCTAATAGTAATAGAGGATTTGTTAGTTCAAAGGACAGATCTGGCGTTAGTATAAAATGTCCAGATGCAGGTCACAAAGCACTTCAGTGTGTTGTGGAGAAAATTACATAATTTTGCCTTTTTATTGTTATTTCTTGTTTAACCAATCCTTTAGTTGGGGAAACGCATAAATAAGAAAGGCTTTAAGAGTCTGGTATTTAAAAAAGGTAAATGGTAAAACAAAACAGGGTAAGTTTTCGTATCTTTGTATAGGATCTCATAATATTTTCTCATAGAAATGGTTTTAACAGATACTCATTATTGCAGTAATAACTACATTTGTATAGTAGTGCTTTATAATTTCCCAAGCACTTTGCTATACATTTAATACTCAAGAAACTCTATGATATGGGTAGGGCAGGAAGTGCTCATTGCATTCATTCAACAAATATTGAATGTCAGATGCTAAGTACTTAGGATACATTAATGAAAAAAGCAGAGTCTCTTTTTTAGTGGGGTTTATACTCTAGTAAGATAATAAGCAAAACAAAAACGATGGGCATAAGTAAGTTCTATAATATGTAGCAGATGCTAAGTTATAAAAGAACAAAGAGCAGTCTAAGGGGGTGATTGGCTGGCAGTGGGGTGGGGCATGTGGGATAAGGTGATTTTTAAATACGTTTAAAATTGATACTGAGAAGATAATAGCTGACTTGAAGGTGCGGCCATTAGCCATGCTGAATACCTGGGATGAGTGTAGGCTCAGCAAATACCAGCCAGTACATAAGTCCTAAGGTGGCACATGTGTGCTTGGTAGATTGAAAGAACAGCAGAAAGGCCAGTGAGTCGCAGTGGAGTGGAGTGAGGGAGAGACAGTATTGTTGAATCTCTGGTTAAAGACAAACTCAGGGAGAACCAAGATGGCGACGTAAGGTACAGACCTGTTCGTGCTGCCACCCACAACAACATCGAGACTACCAACTATAAGACAAACAGCTATCATTCAGAACCATGAGAAAGCTGGCCCAGTGGAAGCTCTACAACTGGAAGGAAAGAAAGAAGAGCATTGAGACTGAGTAGGTTGTGCAGAGGCTCCAAGAACGGAGGTATGGAGTCGCGCGACAGGCGGGCTGCAACTGGATGCGCGGTTTTTTTCAATCGGAAGGGGCTGCAGACTCTCGAGTCCACTGAGCTTGTTTGGGGCGGGATTCTGAGGTCCCAGACCCCTACAGGGAGAGGTGGGACGGCTTTGCAATGGGCCGGAGAGCGAGAGCGGCTGTCTTGAGGAGCTGCCCGACAGCGCTCAGGGATGCCTGAGCGGGGATGTGGAGTCCCGGAGAGGCGAGGAGTCGCGGAGACGCCATTGCCCTTTGCTCCGCCCTGGTGATTTGCCAAGAACAGAGGTGCGGAGTCATGCGCCAGGTGGGCTGCAACTGGATACACGGTTTTTTTCCATCGGAAGGGGCTTCAGACTCTCAAATCCACTGAGCTTGTTTGGTGCGGGATCCTGAGGTCCCAGACCCCTACGGGGAGAGGCGGGATGGCCTTGCAACGGGCCAGAGAGCGAGAGTGGCTGTCTCGCAGAGCTGCTCGCCGGCACTTGGGGACGTGAGATGCGGAGTCACGGAGAGGCAAGGAGTCGCGGAGACACCATTGCCCCTTGCTCCGCCCTGGTGATTCCCGGGGACCCCGCCCTACTCAATTTACATCCCTACCCAAGCTGTGCCAGTGGCACAAAGGGAACCACCGGTGCTTTTGCAGCCCAGCCCAGCAGAATTCAGATTTCAACTCCTCGCATACATAAGGGACACACTCAAGAAGCAGAATCAGGTTCGGAGGAAGCCGGAGCCAGACCCACTGGGCCGGCGACGTGGAACCGCTGTACCAGCAAACGCACAGGCAGGTCCACCAGATCCAGTCTCACATGGGACACTGGGAGACGGCAGACAGGCAGTCTGTGCACTTGGTAGAAAACGAAATCCAAGCAAGCATACCAGATATTCAGCCACCAGGAACGCCCGGAGATTTTGTCCAGCAAGGAGCTGCCCAACAAAGGACAGAATGCCAAACTTCGTGTTGCTGAGATGGCCCCCGTGAGGCCGAGACGGCCCCCATGAGATCGGGACGGCTCCCGTGAGGCCGAGATGGCCCCGGTGAGGCTGAGACGTCCCTGGTGAGGTTGAATCGGCCCCGGTGAGGCCGAGACGGTCCCGGTGAGGCTGGGACGGCCCCTGTGAGACCGAGACGGCCCCTGGGAAGCTGAGAAAAATACCACATGAACTCACTCATTTATGGATAATAAGGACCATTATAGACTGATGAACAAAAATGGATACAGAGGCAGAGCAGCATTGAGCAGACTGTCAAACTACAGTGGGAAGCCTAAGAAGGGTTGGGGGGGGGCAGGTAGGAGATCAACCGAAGGACTTATATGCATGCATATGAGAATAACCAATGGACACAAGACCCTGGGGGGTGGGGGAGGCCGGGGGAATGTCAAGGGGGGGGGGGGGGAAGGAGACGTGTAATACTCTTTGTAATACTTTAAGAAATAAAAAATTAAAATTAAAAAAATATAAAAAAAGACAAACTCAGATTCTGATAGTTTAAAAGACTTAACCAGTTTTGCCAGACTGGTGTGGCTCAGTGGTTGAGCATTGACCCACAAACCAGGAGGTCATGGTTCAATTACCGTTTAGGGCACATGCCTGGGTTGCCACCTCAATCACTAGTAGGGGACGTGCAGGAGGCAGCCAATCAATGATTCTGATCATTGATGTTTCTATCCCTCTCTCTGAAATCAATTAAAAATAAATAAATGTCTTAACCAATCTAGTTAAGGTAGAACTCAAAACATTTATCATGACTCCAGAGTCTTTATGTCCTGCAGTTGCTTCAGTGGAAATTCTCTTATATTTCCAGAAGGGACAGATTAAAAAAAAAAAAAAGGAAATCATGACTAATGAACAGTCTTTATTATAATTCATACTAGAGGCCCGTTGCACGAAGATTCGTGCAATAGGCCTTCCTTCCCCTGGCTGCCAGCACCAGTTTTCCTCCGGCACCTGGGACCCAGGCCTTTGGTCTGGCCGCAGCGGCGAGGCGTGGCTTCTCCGCTCAGGCCGTAGCAGCGAGGCTTGGCTTCTTTGCTCCGGCTGCAGCGGAGAAGCCAAGTCTTCAGTCTTCAGTCTTTGCTCCATGCCTGCATATGCAAATTAACCACCATCTTTGTTGGGTTAATTTGCATACTCATCCTGAATGGCTGGTGGGCATAGCAGAGTGACACCAATTTGTATGTTTCTCTTTTATTAGTGTAGAGTAGTGTCCCGGTGCACAGATTTGTGCACATTGAAAGAAAATTAATTAGTAGAAATATTTAAATATTGCTATTCGTCCTTTCTCTATAATAGAAGTGTCACCAAATTCACAATCAACAATGACACATCGAAACACATGTGTGCGATTGGCGCCAGCGAGAGTTTTATATGTATCGCGCATGCGCAAGTCAACTTGGCCTTTTATATATATAGAATAAACTTGCTTAATTAGACCTGCTTTCTGATTTAGCTAAACTTTTTCCAGCCCAGTGAAGCACCCCAACTTCTCTTTCAGGTAATTGTCAGCAACACAGCAGTAAATATCAACATGAAACAGATTATAGTAAATCATGCAGGGAGAACAAAGGGTAAAATATTTAACTGTAGCAGTGTTTGACTATATTTTACACAGTGAGAAAACCTGAAGTCATTTTCAAGTTCCACCATTTCTTCTTTTCAGTCAGGTCAACTTTCTAAACTTTCTAAATCTCCGTTTTCCGGCTAATGAAAAGAAAATAGGACTGAGTCTCCTATCTACCTACTCCAGGACTTCTGTGAAGTTCAAATGCAATGAGGCACGTGAAAACGCTTCACAGACATTTGGTTAAACTGTAAAATGTTTGCACCTGGCTATAAAGCAAGTAGGGTTTCTGGGCTGAAGGAACCCCAAGGAGGCTAGTTGCTAGGGAGAGGAAGCCAGGCATTGCTACGTGATGTCATTACCCGGTACCCACAGCGACCATTTCCACGCTGGGCTAGTCCATGGGCTGCATTTTGCACCATGGGGTCTTGGCAGCATTGGCTGCGATTTGGTGGGGTGTCGCTCTGGGGTGGTGGCGGGGCCTGTGTCCCACTTGAGGGAAGCCCAGTGTTGGTTTGTCGGCACCAGGTCCATGGTGCCGTTTATTTTTAAATGTTCAGAGTGCGTCATGGCAGCTCCTGCATTGAGCGTGTGTCCCCTGGTGGTTAGTGCACGTCATAACTACTGGTCAGACGGGCATTTAGCCTTTTATATATAGAGATTTTATTCTTCAACATAAACAATCTTTTTTAAAAATCTTTTTAAAAATTTTTTTATTGATATCAGAGAGGAAGGGAGAGAGAGAAACATCAATGATGAGAATCATTGATTGGCTGCCTCCTGCACGCTCCTCCACTGGGGATGGAGCCCGCAACCCGGGCATGTGCCCTTGACCAGAATAGAACCTGGGACCCTTCAGACCAACGTTCTATCCACTCAGGCAAACCAGCTAGGGCATAAACAATATTACATTAATTTCAGCTAACCTAGAATTTGTTTTCATGCACAATTTTTGCTAAAGGAGAAAATACAGCCTTAGTACAGTGTGATTTTATTCTTTCCTATGTTTTAAGTTATTAAGTTGAAACCTAACCTTTGATTTTGCTTTCAGGGATAACATGCTAATTGTGTGACTATTCAGAAGACTTTAATTTATATTTATAATTTCATTGTACTTTCTCTAATCTTTCTTTTAAAGATATGGACATACTGCAGGAGAAGCTACACATGATGCAGTAGATTCTGCCATCAATGTTGGTGTAACTGCCTATAATATTGACAACATTGGCATCAAAGCGATGGTAAAGAAAACTGCTAAACAAACTGGACATACAATCCTTGAGGACTATAAAATAGTTGATATTTCAAAGGGGGGAAATCAAGCAGGGGGAGCAAATGTAAACATGAAGGGGGAGAAGGATGACCAGACAGAGGAACTGGAGAAGAATGAAGCAAAGAAGAAAGATAAATGATGGATATGCTATGATTCACCTATACCAAAGCCTTACAAGATGAATGCAATTGTGTTGATAGGCAAATGTGAAATTCCCCATGGATTAACCAGTAGTTTTTAAATGTATTCATTTCTACAGAGTGAGTGTTTAATAAGTTTTATGGCATGTATTCTACTTATAAAGAAAATAATTGGTATTCTTTCATCTGGCCTTTAGAAATATAGTTATATTCTATTATACTTATAGTTTATTTTTTTCTAAATGTGGCTAACATATTTTTGCAGTTAAAACTAATAATACATGTGCCCTCATTAAACCTAATGTTAAACTGTTTCTGTATTTTCTATCTTTCAGAAAGCAAAGTAGGATATTATTATATACTTACATAAAATTTGGCATTTAGTATAGTAACCTTAATTTTATTTGTACTGGGAAGGAATGACTTAAAATATTGTTTTCTCTTTTTGCACTAATTGTGTATTTTTTTTAGGTATTTGTCAGTATTTCCAGTATATAAGCTAAACAAAAACTATATTTCTAAACTAAAATAATTCTCAGATAACATTTAAAAAGACTTTTTCAAAATAGGGAATAGACCAATGAAAAACAAAATAAGGTTTATGAAATTATTTAGTAGCTTACTCTTCATTAGGAAATGAGATGGTCTTTTAGACTTAAAATGAATACAGATAGATTAATAAGTCTTCTGGATTTCAACTTGTATTGACCTAGTAAGAACCTGGGAAATTTTGGGGTATGATTAGTATTGCATTAAAATTTGCAGTGATTATTAATCAGCTTAATTGGACAAAAAAATTCTTTAAGAAATCACTTTGCCATATCTATTTCTTTTAAGTTTTTCCAAAAGGCTAAACTTTTGTAAAAACAAATATAAACAGTATTGAGTTTATGGATGATAAATATATTTTTATTTTGGAATTCAGTCATTGGAATTTTATATATTAAAAAGCCAATAAATTATTAGAAAATGTTTTCATAATTAATGTAATGAATGGGAAGACGTTAGGCTTAATCTGTGGTGAGTGGGCATCACAGTTTCTGCTTTGGCAGAAGACAGGATATTCACAGACCTATAAACTACAGCTATGTAGGTAAATATCTAATAGCATTTTATTTTTGTTTATTGATTTTGAAAGATTGCTGTTGGTTTTTATAGCTATCAGCCATTCTAATATTTTTTAAACCTCTAATGGCTACTTAATTTATTAGACTTTATTTGAAACTGTCTAAATAATGCACTTTTTGAATAAACTGTCCCTAAATTACTTGGTCTTAAATATATTCATTGGTTTGTATTTTGGGAACACATAGAATTGGTGGAGTCTTTCCCTAAGGCCGAGGATTCTGTACTAGTTAAAATGGAAATAAAATTGAATTGGTAAATAGCTTTCAGTCAGTCTCTGCCTTGTTTAAGAAATGGAATGACAAATAGTGGAGCTTAAAGTTTAAAAAGTAACCTTAGACCAGAGAGGTCAGCAAAATTGGATTTGTCAGCAGGTATCTAGATGATTGTTTTACTTCATTACTGTTAAATTGATTGTGGGTTGTCTTTTCAGAGTAACAGCTAGACAAAATTTGGATAAGCACAGCTTCTATATTAGAGCTCAAAAGAATATATATGTATATAAATATAATGAAAAAGGGGCCACATACTAAACCTGACAAGCCCAGGAGCAGCTTACATGGTGAGTATTATAAACTCAGAGACAGAAAGTAACCACAAAGGATGGTCTGAACATAAAAATTCTTAACTAAAAGCAAGTCATGGTGGAGAGTCATGTCCTAGGCAAGTATCTTCCTTGACAAAGGTCAGTCTTCACCTTCACTGAGCCTGTCTATTGTCTTTTTGCATCTAGGATAACATACCTTTGGAATGGCAGAGTAATCCCCTATATTCTAGATCCCTCAGGGCACAGTTGCCCACCATAACCTGAGACTACAGAACCCCTAATTGTTATCTTCTACCCCGAATACCATCTATGTGCTGTAAATGTGAATTGTTATCTACCCACCAATGTAAAAGAAGTATGTCTCTCTCCATTTTACTTTTCATCCAGTCCCAACGATTTCCTTGCTTTGCTTTCTCCTGCCTCCCTAATCTACTACCAGTGGATTTCATGTAACCCCTCTTAATGTCTTCTCCTTGTATTCTGATGCATTAAATAAGCAGTAAAATTGCCATTCTCCAGAGCATTTTCTCAATCCATTGAGATTTTTTTTCCTGCAATTGTCATCAGTTGGCTCAAATAAACTCAAAATTTATCTATAGGTTTGGATGTTTCTTTTGTACACATACATACACACACACACACTCACACATTGATTTACTGTAACACCCAGTAATTATGGAGGCTGAGAAATCCGAAAGATACACAGTCAGTGAGCTGAAGAGCCAGATGAGCTGATATGTTTGTTCCAGTCCAAGTCTGAAGTCCTGAGAACCAGAAGAGACGATGGTGTCAGTTCCATTTTGAAAGCAGGCTAGAGACCCAAGATGAACCCCTTGCAGACTGAGTCCCAAGGCTGAAAACTAACATTATAGCTAAAGCAGTAAAGCAGAAGTTCACTCTTATTCAGACTTTTTGTTCTATTCAGATCCTTGATTGAGGGCCACCCATCTTAGGGAGAGCAATCTGCTTTACATAGTCTACTGATCAAAATTGAATGTTAATTTCCTCCAGACACACCCAGAGTAATATTTGGCCAAATGTCTGGGCACCTTGTGGCCCAGTCCAGCTGATCAAATTAACCATCACAGCTTCTTAGCCCAGCTTTCATTGTTCAGAGGCCTTTCACCTAGCTCTGCTTGGCTCTGAGACTCAACAGGTAATACAGTGTATGAAAAATGACAGTTTTCAATATTTACTGCTACCAGCTTTTTAGTCACTTTGCTTCTACAGACCTCCCCCAGGCTGTACTGGGTAGTTTCTGGGAATGCCTCCAGGTAGTGACTAGCTATAGAAATAATATGCTTATGTAGTACCACTGATATTGAATGCTGAACTGAAGTTCTTCCTGGATTGTGTCTCAGGAAGTTGAAGAAAATCTCAGACCAGAAGATTTAAACAAAAGTATGGAAATTTATTATAAGCAGATATAAACTCCCCACATGAGGAGGGGATCCGAGAATGGGTTTCTGCCGAAGTTTATTTGTCTAGGGGTTTTTATTTGCTATGGACCCACTCTTTGTCTTTCTCACTGATTGGTTTCTTCTATCTTCTTTGTTCAGTAACAATTTTAAAATCCATCTCATGCTCCCCCTCTTTTTGTTCCTCTTTTTCCCCATTTCTTGTAACCTCCAGCCCATGCAAGATAAGCATTCTATGGCATCCTGTTTTTCTGCAAAACCAGTATTGTGGTTTTAGCTGGCTCCAACAGTTACATCCATATATCCTCCTTCCTTTCACCCCTTACCCTGTCGTTTTGATTTGCATCTCTCAGATGATTAGTGACTTTGAGTGTGTTTTCATATGTCTCTTGGCCTTCTGTCTTTTGAAAGGTTTCTATTTAGGTTCGTTGCCCATTTTTGGATGGGGTTGTTTATCTTCCTTTTGTTTAGTTATATGAGTTCCCTGTATGTTGGAGATTAAACCCTTGTCGGTGATAACATTGGCAAATACGTTCTCCCATGCAGTGGGCATTCTTGTTTTGTTGATGGTTTCTTTTGCTGTGCAGAAGCTTTTTATTTTGATGTAGTCCCATTTGTTTATTTTCTCTTTAGTTTCCATTGCCCTAGGAGTAGTATCAGTGAAGAAATTACTTCGGCATATGTCTGCTATTTTGCTGCCTGTGGATTCCTGTAGTATTTTTATGGTTTTTCATCGTATGTTTAAGTCCTTTATCTATTTTGAGTTTCTTTTGTGTATGGTGTGAGTTGGTGGTCTAGTTTCATTTTTTTTTTCATGTATCTGTCCAATTTTCCCAACACCATTTATTGAAGAGACTGTCTTGACTCCATTGTATGTTCATACCTCCTTTGTCAAATACTAATTGAGCATAGTGGTTTGGGTTGATTTCTGGGTTCTCTATTCTATTCCATTGATCTATATGTCTGTTCTTGTGCCAATACCAGCTTGATATCTGGTATTGAGATCCCACCTACTTTGTTCTTATTTCTCAGGATTGCTGCAGCTATTCAGGGTCTTTTTTTTATTCCAGATGAATTTTTGGAAAGTTTGTTCTAGGTCTGTGAAATATGCCATTGATATCTTAATGGGAAGTGCATTGAATCTATAGATTGCTTTGGGTAGTATAGACATCTTGATGATGTTGATTCTACCAATCCATGAACACGGTATGTTCTTCCATCTGTTTATGTCTTCCTCTATCTCTACTTTCAGTATCCTGTAGTTTTCCAAGTACAGGTCTTTTATGTCCTTAGTTATGTTTACTCCTAGGTATCTTAATTTTTTTGGTGCGATGGTAAATGGGATTGCTTTTTTAGTCTCTCTGTAAGTTCATTATTGGTGTATAGAAATGGCATAGATTTCTTAGCGTTAATTTTGTAACCTGCTACATTACCGAATTCATTTATTAAGTCTAATAATTTTTTTGATGGAGTCTTTAGGATTTTCTATGTACAGCATCATGTCATCTGCGAATAAGGACAGTTTTACTTCTTCTTTTCCAATTTAGATGCCTTTTATTTCTTCTTCTTGTCTGATTGCAATGGCTAGTACTTCCAGTACTATGTTGAATAGGAATGGTGAGAGTGGGCATCCCTGTCTTGTTCCTGTTCTTAGGGGGAATGGTTTTCGTTTTTGCCCATTGATTATGATATTGGCTGTGCGTTTGTCATATATCACTTTTATTATGTTGAGGAATGATCCTTCTATGCCCACCTTGCTGAGAGTTTTTATCAAGAAAGGGTGTTGGATTTTGTCAAATGCTTTTTCTGCGTCAATTGATATGACCATGTGATTTTTGTCTTTCAATTTGTTAATGTGATGTATCACATTTATTCATTTGCGGATATTGTACCATCCTTGCATCCCTGGGATAAATCCTACTGGTTCATGTTGTATGATCTTACTGATGTACTGCTGGATCTGATTTTCTAGAAATTTGGTGAGGATATTGGCATCTATTTCATGAGGGATATTGGCCTGTAATTCTCTTTCATTGTGTTGTCTTTATCTGATTTTGGTATTAGTGTGATGCTGGCTTCATAGAAAGAGCTTGGAAGTGTTCCTTTTGAATTTTTTGGAATAGTCTGAAGAGGATAGGTGTTAGTTCTAATCTGAATGAATGTTTGGTAAAACTCCCCTGTGAAACCATCTGGCCCTGGACTTTGGTTTGCTGGAAGCTTTTTGATGATGCTTCAATTTCTTCCATAGTTATTGGCCTATAATATTTTTAGAATCTTCCTGATTGAGTTTTGGAAGGTTGTGCTTTTCTAGGAATATGTTCATTTCCTCTATGTTCTCTAGTTTGTTGGAATAGAGTAGTTCATAGTATTTTTTAATAATCCTTTGTATTTCTGTAGGGTCTGTTGTTATTCCGCCTCTTTCATTTCTGATTTTGTTTATTTGGGTCCTCCCTCTTTGTTTCTTGGTGAGCCTGGCTAGAGGTATATCAATCTTGTTTATCCTTTCAAAGAAACAGCTCTTGGTTTTGTTGATCTTTTGTATTGTTTTTTTTGGTGTCTATGTCATTTATTTCTGCTCTAATCTTTATTATCTCCTTCCTTCTGCTCACTCTGGGCTTTTCTTGTTGCTCTTTTTTCTAATTCCTTGAGTTGTAAAGTTAGATGATTTACTATCATTTTTCTTGTTTTTGAGGTAGGCCTGTAGAGCTATAAACTTCCCTCTCAGGACTGCTTTCATTGTGTCCCATAGATTTTGGATTGTCGTGTCTTTATTATCATTAGTTTCCCAGATGTTTTTGATTTCTTCATTGATCTCTTTGGTGACCCAATCATTGTTTAATAGCATACTATTTAGCTTCCAAGTGTTTGAATTCTTTGGATTGTTTTTATTGTTGTTTATTTCTATTATTATGCAATTGTGGTCTGAGAAGATGCTTGATATGATTTCAGTCTTCTTGATTTGGGGAGACTTTGCTTGTGACCCAATATGTGGTCTATTTTTGAAAATGTCCCATGTGCACTTGAAATAAACGTGTATTTCGCGGCTTTGGGGTGAAATGTTCAGAAGACGTCAATTAAGTCCATTTGATCTTGTGAGTCATTTAGGATTGCTGTTTCTTTGCTGATTTTTTGTCTAGAGGATTTATCCAGTGATGTCAGTGGTGTATTAAAGTCCCCTACTACGATTGTATTGTTGTCAATCTCTCCCTTGATATCTTCCAGGAGATTTTTTATGTATTTAGGTGCTCCTGCATTGGGTGTATATATATGTTTTTCAGGGTTATATCCTCTTGTTGTATCAATCCCTTTAGTGTTATGAAGTGGCCTTCCTTATCTCTTGTTATGGCCTTCACTATTTTGTCAGATATAAGTATCGCTACCCCAACTTTTTTCTCATTTCCATTTGCCTGAAAGATATTTTTCCATCCCTTCACTTTCAGTCTGTGTGAGTCCCTTATTCTGAGGTGGGTCTCTTGTAGACAGCATATATATGGGTCATGTTTTTTTTTTAACATTCAGCCACTCAATGTCTTTTGATTGGAGCATTTAGTCCCTTTACGTTTAAAGCTATTATTGAAAAGTACTTGTTTGTAGCCATTTTTATTTTTTGTGCCTGTGTTCTTTCTTACCTTTTTTTGTCTTCTTTTTATACCAGTCCCTTTACCATTTCTTGAATTGCTGTTTTGGTAGTGATAAACTCCCTTAGCCTTTTTTTTGTCTGTGAAGCTTCTTATTTCCCCTTTAATTTTGAATGATAGCCTTGCTGGATAGAGTATTCTTGGATTCAGTCCCTTGCTTTGCATCAATTTGTAAATTTGCTTGCATTCTTTTCTGGCCTGATATGTTTCTGTTGAGAAATCATTTGATAATCTAATAGGAGATCCCTTCTACATAACTTTCTCTCTCTTTCAGCCTTTAAGATTCTCTCTTTGTCCCGAACTTTTGCCATGGTAATTATGATGTGTCTTGGTTTGGGTCTTTTCATGTTCATCTTGTTTGGGACTCTCTGTGCTTCTGTGAGTTTTTTCTTCCCCACCTCAGGGAAGTTTTCAGACAATATTTCTTCTAATAGGTTTTCTAACCCTTGTTCCTCTTCCTGTTGTTCTGGCTCCCCTATTATTCATATGTTGCTTTGTTTCTTGTTGTCCCATAGCCCCTTAGGCTCTCCTCCTGTCTTT